ATCCAAATTTAGTAGATTTTTCTCTCACAGAATTATAAGTTTCAACATTTAGGTTTAGATTAGGTTAGATTCGAATATTAATGCGAATCACTGTATATACAAGACAAACTAAAAATATGGAATGAAATGAACCCAAGTTTATCACCAAAATTTAGTAGCATTTTCTCTCACAAAATTATAACAGTTTCAACATTCAGGTCAGGTTTAGATTATGTTAGGTTCGTATATTAATGCGAGTCATTGTGTATACAAGATAACAAACAAAAATCACTTTGACATTTCAATGAAAATTTGCACCGAATCAATTAAATTTTTACCGAACGCGCGATTGTAATAAACACGCTGTACGATCATTTCCCAAATTGGCGCGATCGATCGATGACAGTCGCCGTTACATCGCCGCTGGGTGAAATTCACCAAAGTTCTCCGGGACGCGGATAATATTTTCGCCAGGTCAAAATATTTTATATATATCGATACGTGTTCTACACGCGATAATTGATCGCCGCTAATACCAGACGCGACCTCGACGCTGAATCGACGTTGCGTGTGCGAATCGTATAGAATTTCTCGACGTGTCCGACAACCGTGCAAATGTAGAGTGCAATCTCGTGCTTCCAGGAATCACAATTTGCGGCGAATGTTTTAACCAGCGGTTTATCGCTGGAAACGGCCAGCTGTTGGAACGATGGCTAATCATTGTCGGCGAAATACAATTTTTCCTTTTAAATATCGAATGATTTATTAAAAAGGCGTGGGATCACCTCGTCTTTCAGTTGCGAAATGAAATAAATCGTGCGTTGTGTGAATCGAAATTTCGTTTTTTCGGGTCAGATTATGAGCTCACGTATGTATGTATATATATATATATATATATATATATATATATACAGGATGAGAAAGAAAAGTTTGTCCTTGGATATCATAGATGAATTTCTGCACCTTCGATTTGATGGAAATACATGTAAATAACCTGCCGCGAAATTGACTAACTTTGAATTTCAGGGTCAAAAAATTTTTTTGCATCGTATTCTACTCATCACTCCAGTTCTCTTGCAAAAATGGCGAAAAAGTTTCTTGATCATTCAACATTGCAAATGCGTCCGTTTTAACAGCGACTTTATGATTCTAGACACTCTGTTACGTCATATTTATATTTCAAATGTTTCATAATGTGAACGTTTATCATTTAAGACTTGCACTGATTCTGCAACTATGATAAATCAAATATTAGTTAAACCTAATACGAAAATTACGTCCAGAATCATAAAGTCGCTGTTAGGACGCAGTGTTAAATTATTAAGAAACTTTTTTGCTATTTTCCAAGGGAACTAATAGATTGCGACTTATGGTTCCTTGGAAAAGTTTTGTGATGGGTAGAATACGAAAAAAGAAAAAAAAAAAAAATTGACCTTGAAATTCAGATCGAAGGCGTAGAATTCATCTGTGATAGCCACGGATAAACTTTTCTTTTTCACCCTGTACGTATGATTTACGAATGAGAAATTAAAGAGAGACAGAGAAAGAGAGAAATTGATACTGTTTGATTTCAATGTCAAAAATTTTTTTTGCATCGTATTCTACTCATCACTCCAGCTCTCTTGCAAAATGGCAACAAAGTTTCTTGATTATTCAGCACTGCAAATCCGTGCGTCCTAACAGCGACTTTATGATTCTAGACATGTCTATATTACGTGATATTTATATTTCATAATGTGAACGTTTATCATTTGATTATTGAGACTTGCACTGATGCTACAACTATGATAAATCAAATATTAATGAAACCCAATACGAAAATTACGTTTAGAATCATAAAGTCGCTATTAGGACGCAGTGTTAAATTATTAAGAAACTTTTTTGCTATTTTCCAAGGGAACTAATAGATTGCGACTTATGGTTCCTTGGAAATGTTTTGTCTTTGTGATGAGTAGAATACAAAAGAAAAAAAAAATTGACCTTGAAATTCAGATCGAAGGCGTAGAATTCATCTGTGATAAACTTTTCTTTTTCACCCTGTACGTATGATTTACGAATGAGAAATTAAAGAGATTGAGAGAGAGAGAGAAATTGATATTGTTTGATTCGTTCTTGTAAGAATTTCGGATTCCATTCGAAACGTTCGCAAGTTCCAAAGAGTGTAGAAACTTTGGAATAGATTCAAAACCCTTTCACGTTGCGAGTGAATTTGAAACTTGGAAACTTTTATCCGTTTGTTTCCCCAATCGATACGTGTATGCATTCTCTCTGTCTCTGCTGATTGAAAATGTGACACCGGTATACACGGTGAATAGAAAGAAGGGTTCATAATTTTTAGGGTAGACAGTACTCGTCGAAACATGAAAAAAAAAAAAGAAAATCCTAATAAACATGGGTCGAAATTGTTTCAAAGTTGTAAACAATTTTTCGTTTTGAATGATAATAATTTCTGTTGAAAACGCCAATTGATCTCATTTTTCGTTTATTGTTTCGCAGATTATTCACGGCGTTCACATAGAGCCGGCACACGAAGTGAAGAAACGGAGTATCAGTCAGCCAGTTCGAATCCTCTTGTCGTACGATGAAAGCGTTTACAGGTAAGTTTATCATGCGATTTATTAATACAGGGTGTCTCATTTGAACTGACACTCGAATTGAATTTTCACTTAAATTATTCGTTATTACTTCGGAAGGAAATGTTTCGAGTAAAATTTTTGTTTCGAGGTGGACATCTCACCTCATATGCCACGTGTCATATGTCACACCTTATGAAAACGAACTTAGGTCAAAGTAGAAGCCGTATTACTTTCAAACGAGACCAGATTTAGATACGTACGGCTTTCTTTTTTTTACAAAGTTACAAAGTTGCAACAGCTTTTGTTACAAAGTTACAAGTTTCTTTTTTTTACAAAGTTTGAAACATCCTTGGTTTCCAAGGTCATCTGAAGATTATCACTTAAATACATTCGAACTTATTTTTTCATCCGCTCACGAAGTGCAATAGAAAAAGGTAAAAGTTGAAGAAATTCGCACAAAAAACAAATTTTACTCCAGGATATTCTTCTCTCGAAATCATGTAAATCATGCTACGAAACTTTTTCATAAGAAGCCAAACCTAACCCAAACCAAACCCAACGAAATAATTGACACGATTTGGAATTTTGAGGAAATGTCAAAAGACTCGTAGGATCACTGCAATTTTTTTTTTTTCTCTTATTAATATGTTAATTCCAAATCTTTTCTACCGATGCAGAATGTATTTGAGACAGTGTCGAGAACAGTGTTTGATTTTAATGAGAGCCGCGAGGTATACAGCTATACTGTCGAGAACAACATGAAAGAGACCAACTTGCTCACTTACTTGAAATTAAAACTGCTTCGAATTAACGTTTCTGTGCTGGATGCTTGTCCTTAGAATTCCGTGAAAAACATAGAAACTGTAAAAGATTCTCACGCCCCGCGTATCGATATGAACTTATTACTCGAAGAATTGTCGCGTGTCGGGAAGATTTTTCACTTCGAAAATAGCACGTGTTCTGTGTCAGTAATTTAAAGAAAAAAAAAAAAAAAAACGATCCGACGATTTCGCGTGGAAGATACATGTTCGGTGAAAAGCTATACAAAGGCAGACGTATGATATACGGTAATTAATTCGTTTATTTCGCTTTTCTACGGGCGCGCGTGATTACTTTTCACCGGATTGCACTTTTTCCATCGATTGAAAAATGCATTGAACGTTGAATAAACATCCCCGGCTGTGTACCGTGCGTTGAAAAAAACCCTCTCTCTCTCTCTCTCTCTCTCTCTCTCAAATCATTTTTCGAATTTCGCCGACAGTATAAAGTTTTCAAGGAGAAACGGGATCGATGGGGTTTTCTCTGCATTCGAACGTTCATGACCGAAAACGTTCGTTAACAATGTTTGGCTAGAGATATCTGAAACACTTGTGCATTGGTTGTTCTACAGATATTAAGTTGACCGAAAAATAATTGCGTTTCCTTTTTTTTTTTTTTTTTCTTTTCTAACGGACGTAACATTTTTTAATTGCTCGCGATGTAATTCATGCTTAGTAAAAAAGAAAACTATAAAAGAAAGTAACAACGAAGATATGTATAGAGTAGACAAACATCATTTCCTGCTAAACTAAATTTTATTACATATTTAGAAAAGAAAATTTTTTTTTCACCGATCAGAAATACACTGATTTAAGTTCATGTTTGAATTTAAAACTAATAAAATTAGTTTTCTTTTTTTATATTATATTATTTATTTTTATATTTATTTATATCATATTATTTATTTTTATATTTATTTATATTATATTATTTATTTTTATATTTATTTATATCATATTATTTATTTTTATATTTATTTATATTATATTAAGTGGCAGCTGCTTTTATCTATCCTATCATTACGATACACTGTTAGACTTGTTTCAAAAATTCGCGCGCCAGCACATTTTAAAATGTGACTAATTTCGTTTGAAATTGACTGAAAGATTGCAAAATGGTCAGTATGTCGCCCGAAATAAATTTTTCCTTCTTTCAGTTGCACGAAAAAAAAAAAAAAAAAAAAAAAAAAAAAAAACAGGAAACGCAATTACTCTTCGATCAATCTAACACGTAGGTTGGAAAACAAACGATACAAGGCTTAAATACAGTGAAGATATTGTGAATACACGTCTCTAACGTTGGGAGAAACTAGGCTGAATGAACGATAGAAACTTACGAAGTACTACTCAGAAAGTTTCGCCATGGTGGCATTTAACAACTGCAGAACTTCCGGCCCGAAAGTTAAAAGTTAACTTCGTTGTGACTCCTGGCGGCGTAAAAGCGCGTCTCACGCAGCGCACATTTCGTTCGCGACTGTAGCCGCAAACTTCGCTTAACAATTTGCGTTAACAGCTTTCGATTATTTATCTATTTATTTTCGTTCTTTCCTTTCTTTCGTCGCTGCGTTAAAGTAATCGTGGCAGGAAAGAGCTGACAGTACTTTACGTCATTTTCACTGTTACGTTGTTCAATAATTGACCAAAGCTGACGAAATTTTGAGAAAATTCTAATTCATTTTCCCTATAATTTAATATACTGTAAATTCTAATCGAGAAACTATCGATCTTTGTTGTTTGAGCAAACGTACCTAAAACTGACGACTGAATCTTGCCATTTCAACTGTTAATATCAACTCACAAGTAAAATAACCTTACTTTCAGATAACATTTCGTTTCAATTACCATGTCGAGTATTTTCAATTTTCTCGCGAGCGAGAAAAAAATTGATAGCGATAGACTTTGAAACTTGAAGGGGCACCAAATCTTGAAAACCAGGCACGCGACTTTTTGTTACGTGGCTGCGAAGGTTCATGGATTCGGCGATTTTCCGTTTAATTTTGCGTTTCGGTAAGTTGCGCGGACGGTGTGCACCAAGTGTGCATCAAGTGTCGTTCGACGTATCGATCGATACTGGCATAAAAGGCGTACCTCGCGATGCATCTACGCGAAGTATCGTGCGCGCGATGCATGGATCAATTTCTTCCGAGACACTTCACCGTACATCTCCAGTACGGCACTTTACATAGAATCTTGGCTGCGACACAGAGTCTTTGCATCGATGTAGAAAGAAATACAGAAGCTTCGTTGCTACGTACCGTTTCCGGGCGAAGGCGTCGCCGTCACATCCGCGCCCTAGTCAATATCCTCCACAGTCTACTGCTGCCGGATACAAATAAGACGACCAACTGCCGTCAGAAATTGCGCCACGCGAGACTTTTGTCTACGTGTGTTGCTACGGCGTAACGAGATATCGACGTGCGCGGGCACATACAGACACACGGACGAGAAACGACGAAAAATTTGAAAGAAACGAATCCATCAGAGCTCTGAGCTTTAAGCTCCGTTCTCACTTGCTCGAAATTAACCAGTTATGGCCCGCTGGCAACTGGTTCGCGGACCATAACGAGTGGCCGAACAGTACACAATAATTCGTCGCTTTCTTCTTCTTTTAAACTCGTCGGTATGATGTCACTGGAGAAATAGAAATTATTGAGAAGTAATAAACTTATCATTCGTTTTGCTTGAGTTACATTTAAATATTTATATTTAAAGTATATTTAAGGTATATTTAAACTATATTTAAGGTATATTTAAAGTATATTTAAATATTTATATTTAAAGTATATTTAAAGTATATTTAAATATTTATATTTAAAGTATATTTAAAGTATATTTAAAGTATATTTAAAGTATATTTAAATATTTATATTTAAAGTATATCTAAAGTATATTTAAATATTTATATTTAAAGTATATTTAAAATATATTTAAATATTTATATTTAAAGTATATTTAAAGTATATTCAAATATTTATATTTAAAGTATATTTAAAGTATATTTAAATATTTATATTATATTATTTTTATTTAATATAATTTATATTTATATTTAATTTAAATATATAAATAAAAATATGTAAATATATAAAATAATTAAAAACATATAATTAAATTATATTATTAAAAATATATAATTAATTTAAATAATTAAAAATATATAAATATATCAGTTTATATTTAAATATACCTAAAATTGAAAATATCCTGAAAAATGTTGCAACTTGGGACAGAAAATTCTCGTCGTGCGTGGCACGTCATTCCAAGACAAGAGGTTAAATCCTTGTAAACGTTTGAATTGTATTTATATGGATGATATGAATCGATCTATATTTAATAATGAATAAAAAATGATCAAATACAGAAAACGCGCGCCAACGAGATCCTCCATTTTGCGTTTCTTTCCGTAAGGAAAATGTCGGACTTGGTCGACGACGTCAGCGCCTCCAACATTCGTTTGGCGTAACAATCGTTTAATATTATTGCTTCTGAAGTAAATTATTCATTATTCGCAGACCAAAAAAAGGAGTGATGTTAAATCCAGGAAGGAAAACGTTAAGAGTTTTTCTTTGGCGCTAGAATTTAAGGGAGTTCAAAAGTGAGGTTAGGTTTTGACGCTGGAACAGAGAAGAGAATTCAGAAGAAGTGAGGTTAATCGATTTGCTTAGTAAGCAAGTCAGTTGGAGAAATAAATATATAATTTAGAAGAATTCGAGATGTGAATTCAATCTTAGAGAAATGAATATTGATAAGTCTCGTAACGATCATCCCTCGTTTACGATTATTCAACAAACGGCGAGTTCTTCACAGCGGCAATCCCACAATCGCAGATGTCTGCCGAGTTTGCCGAAACAGCGGCAAGAAGAAGCGTACTTTTTACGCCGACGCGCGAAAATAAATACGTTCCGAGTTAATTAACGAAGCGAGGCCAATTTCCCCGTGAATTACGACGAGACCAAATTTTCATTCCAGTTGTCCAGGAACTATCGTCGGTAATTAATCGTGTTTCCTCGTTACCGATAATTAATCCCGTGTCGCTCGTATCCAGTTGAATAGAAAATAAAAAAAGGAAAAAAGAAACAGAAAAAAGACCGAGAGAGAAAGAGAGAATCAACCGATAAAGCCGATAAAGTCGGGCATCTATCGATATCGACGGAGCACGGCCGTTCGGCGTTCTCTCTCGAGAGATCGGCCGTGGCGTCCAATCGAATAGAAAGCGTTAAAAATTTCCGTCTCGCGGACGAAAAACTTGGGAACGCGCCAGATGAACCGCGCGCTGTCTGCGTGGCCTTATTCAATTTGCAATTCACTCTCCCTCCCCCCGTCGTCGGCGGGACCGTCGACGATATTTGAAAAGCCGTCCACTTCGTCGGCAATGGATCCAAGCCAAATGTTTGTATCTGATCGTGGGACGGATACACGTGTGTTTCGATTAGCCACGGATATTTCGTATAAACCGCGTCGTGGACGACGGGAAACAAACAACAATCGGCCCACGTGGAAATAAATGAGACTAAAAATGTAACGCAATTGAAAAGTTGCTCCTGATATATAAAAAATACTTGCGTCTTGAAGCACAGTTTCGCATTAATTCTCGTGCGAGTTAGGAGGAGTTTAGGTTTGTTTAAAATATCGCAGGACAGTTGTTTCTGCGCAGAATTGGTTGTGCTGAAAAGAATTCATTTCAATTAGTAGTGAAAGTAGATATTGATCGATTGATACAGTAAGGCAATCTTTTTGTTGTAATATTTCACGTCAGAAATGACAAACAATACTTTCCAGCCACGACTGCAAAGATTATTATTATTCATCCTCGTTATTAAATAATTAATAAATTAAGTTTAATTAATCTCCTCGTTAGGAGAAAAATTCGAAATTCTTCGGTCGGTTGAGACCTGGCGATAAGTTGACGTCTAATTTGCAAGAAATTTCACAGAAATGAATCGACAATTCGCGCGATTAGGAAAAATTGAAGTAAAATGAGAGCTAGAGCCAAGTCAAGTATTAAAGTTTCAATCCTCCCGCGCGAAAGATCTTTCATTAACAAAAACGGAAAATTGTTTAATTACTTAGGACAGAAGATTGCAATAGGGAGAATATTCTTTTGAATGCTTGTTTAATTAAACAGAAGAAAAGACTGTTTATTTAGTTTAGTATTATTTTATTTAGTTTATTCAGTTTATTGATCTTAATTTAATTTATTTAGTTACCATTAGTTTATTTAGTTTAGCTTTTCCTGCTGCATTCGTTTCCCGACCGATTTCTGATGAAAATCCCGTGATTCGACACGCCGCTGTTGTGCACCGTCTTTCCCTTTGCGAGATAACTTCAAAATTTCGACGCAGTCGCTGTTACATTCAATCGAGAAATCGCGAAAAATCTATCGGCGGCACCTATTCCGAACAAGCCCCGAAGGCTTTTACCTCCATCGGATTTTTAACAGGAAACGTTCTTTAACAGGCAACGTGCCTGTCAACGTTCGTTCGGTTCGTTTCGAATTTTTTTTTTTTTTTTCTTTTTTCGTCCTCGCCGAACGACGTACCTATAAAAGTCGCTGGAAAGTCTCAGGGCAAGTACTGATCAGAAAAATAATGTCGTTTTCTCTCTTTTTTTTTTCACTAAAATGAAAATTTCTGATGAAAATTTCATGGTTACAGATGAACATCAGTTTGTTCAGTGTACCGTATGTGTTGTTTGTTGTGACTGACTAGATTTTCAATGGTTGCACGAAATTCGAGATACGCTTACGAGATGATCTTATGTGTCATCGTACTCTCGCCGTGACGAGCCCTATTGAAGAAATTTTAACAATATTAAATTCTCCATTAATATTATTCCAATATGAAATATAAGATTAATATTTAATTATTAATACAATTAAAATATTAAGATATTTGAAAGAAGGTATTCGGCTAATGCTTCGAAACATGAACATTTAATGAACGCTGTTAAATCATTCTACCACTTCTACTAATTGTCATAATTATTATACGAACTATCCTGTTAAATATTTTATTTTAATTTTATATCATTTCATGTTGTCTATATATAAAATATATTATTATATTATAACATAAAATATATATATGAAATATATTATTATATTATAACATAAAATATATATATGAAATATATTATTATATTATAACATAAAATATATATATATATAAAATATATTATTATATTATAACGTAAAATATATTTTTTATGTTATCTACACACATATATATATAAAACTATCCTGTTAAATATTTTATTTTAATTTTATATCATTTTATGTTATCTATATATAAAATATATTATTATATTATAACATAAAATATATGTTTTATGTTATCTATCTATCTATCTATCTATCTATCTATCTATCTATCTATCTATCTATCTATCTATCTATCTATCTATCTATCTATCTNATATATATATATATATAACTATCCTGTTAAATATTTTATTTTAATTTTATATCATTTTATGTTACCTATATATAAAATATATTATTATATTATAATTTAAAATGTATATATAAAATATATTAAAATATATTTATAAAATATATTATTTTATTATAACATAAAATATATATTTTATGTTATCTATATATATATATATATATATATATATATATATATATATATATATATAAAACTATCCTGTTAAATATTTTATTTTAATTTTATATCATTTTATGTTATCTTTCATCAGTCAAGTATCATCACATCTGTACAGTGAAATGTTTGCTTGCGATTTTACTTTTATTAAAATGACTGGAGAAAACAAAGAAAACTTGATTTGCGAAATGTGTTAATTTGAAGTGGAAAGTCTGTAATATTATCGATATTATCTCTCAGCTCTTTCTCTGTCGTGCAACTTTTGATCGAACAACCAAAAAAGCGTCTTAAGACTTTCGAGCGACAATGTAAGTTGCGGATGATTATCTTTCGCGTCCCTTTTCGTGAAACAAAACAATTCGCGTTCGTACTCGGCGTATTATATATTTTTTTTCTCTCGTTGCGCGGTCGTAAATTAATATAAGCTGCTTCAGCACCCAATTTATTATTTCCCACTTTAAAAGTAATGCCTCGCCACGGAGAAGCGCTTAACTACAACGCTTGAGACGCCAACTTTCGTCTTAAATGTCGGCCTATAGTCTTCGACTGAAATCTGCAACTTCGTTAAACATTCTTGCAAATTCACGTAAATTCTCCGATCATTCTATATCGTGCTGAAAGTTTTTGTTTGAAATGTGCATTTATTAATTTATTTCGATATTTTTTTCTCTACGTTTTAAATTAATTGAGCGTCGATCGACATATACTGCTCTCGCTGTACCAGGCTAGTGCCTCTAACCAACAGATGTTGTGGGCGTAAATCAGTGCGAGGAGATGACGATTCCCGAATGAATTAGAGCGTCAACGACGCATGCACGTGCTATTCGCTTTCCAATTGCTGGAATTGAAGAGCTCCGTTGCTGGCTGGGAGGGGACAATTTGAATTAGTATACGAGACAAAATGCACGGAAAATCGAAGTATTTGTTAGGGATCCTTTGTACAAAGCGTTCCATTTCATATTGAGAACGTGCGCTTGCCTGTTTGAAATACCATTTCTTTATTGTGAATACGCTATTTCGTAGGAGTATATTTATAATAAATTCCGTTCAACTCTGGGAAAAGTAAAAATATTTCTATTTGACCTGTTTCAAAAATCTACTTCAATGAAACAGTTATTTGACAATAATATTTGTGAGATACTTATTTCTTCGTGTAAATAATATTTCAAACAAATATATTATTTGCTAAATATTCTGTAATGGAATACAGTTTTTAGTTATAATTTTACTTACGATGCAATACAATTTAATATTTACAATACATATAATTTACATACAATATAATTTAATAATATCATTCTACTAAATATTCGCTCGAGGAATTAATCACAAAAATTCACTTCTCCCGTGATCGCGATTCTTCCCAATTTTACTGCATAATTGATATAGAAATTTCCAAAATTAATAATATATTTTGAATAATTATAGAGAATGGTAAAATAAAAATTCAGTTCATTATAAAATTTCTTAATAAAATTAAAATTAAAATTAAATGTCCAGAAATTAAATTTGATGATAATCGAATTGATAAAGTTCAAGGTCGAATAATTAATCTAATTAATTCAATAATTACTATAAAATATATAAGAGGTTTAGAAGAATTTAATGGAACTAAATGTTTTAAAAAATTAATTGGAAAATTAAATAAAAAATCTTAATGATCATAATGATAAAGATATTGATAAATTAAATAATAAATGTCTTGTTGAAGAAACAAATATACGGAAATAATCTAAAAAAATTTATAACTATAATAAAAAATATTAATTTTGAGAAAATTATTATATTAGAAATTAAGTTTTTATTTATTGATATAGAAAATTCTTTAAATAATATAAAAATAAATTTATTTAATGTTATATTTAATCAATAATTATTAAAAAAAAATAATTAAAGATATAATAATAAAAACTCAATTAAATTGAAATTTATAAATAAAATAAATTGATGGATCAAATCTTTCAAATAAATTTATTAAAATTTATTAAAATTAATTTCATTTTAATATAAATTTTTTATTTAATTTAAAATTAATTATATTAATAATAAAATACGAATTTAAATTAAATAAAATTATTATTAATATTGATAAACATACAAAAAAATTATTAATCAATAAATTGGTATTATTTGTGGAATAGAAAATTAATTTTTATTTACTTTAAAATGACATTTTAATGTTATATATGTATTAACTAAATTTTCCGAAATAAATAAATCATTATTATTATTTATTTAATTAATAAAATTAAACTAATTTGTTCTTTCTAATATAATAGGTATAAATCTATGATTAATTCCACAAATTTCACAACATTGACCAATAAATAACTTCTGCCTGCACGCGAGAAATCCAGTCCTAATACTGTAGAGTCGCCAAAATAAAATAAAACAAAATAAAACAAAATAAAACAAAAAAAAAAAAACAACAAAACAAAACAAAAACTGGAAGGCCTAAATATACCAAGAAGATCGTATTCGGGCATCTGATTCGGGTTCGATTTTCGCTGAAATTGAAATTCACGGTGAGGACAGGAGGTTACAATTAGACGTTGAAGTCTCGGACCTAGCCTTGGTAGTTAGGTAAAGCGTCAACAGAGCGCGCTGTGGTAGCAGCGGCAGAGGCGTAGGATTGACGCCGTCGGTCGTTTATAAAATATTACCGTTGCGCTTGGTCGTTTCTTTTCAATGGGGAAGGGGGTGGCGGCTAGGGCCTCGCGCGCGTGCGATTTCCACTCGTTTTCCAGCGTCAAAGGGGTCGGCCTAATTGGCCGTTTACATTTCCGCGCGTGCAATTGTACATTGGCCATCCGTAGGCTGTCTCGCTTCTCTCGCCGGTTTGCGTCGCCCACTCTGAACTCCCTCTCGTCTTTCATCTCGCGTCCCTCCGCTGCTGGCCTTCGTTTTGGTCAATGTTTGCGCAATGCTGGCGCAATGGCAACTGTACCCGAAATGCCCCCGAGCGGCATCTCGTAAATTCAACCCGGCTGTTCTCCGCCATCGTAAATTAACCATAATATTCATATGTGCTTATCGGCACTGTTAATTACATCGCGTACGCTTCCGCAAGTACCGTTTCGCAACTGTTAATACATTATGTCGCGCTTTCGTTCGTTTCATCGTGTCCTTTTTTTTTTTTTTTTTTTTTTTTTTTTTTTTTTTCTTTAGTTTCGCTGCGCCACGGAGGACAAAAATCCAAAAGTGACTCGCGCAGCGTATGTACTGTACCTAACGAGAATGTAGAATTGCTTGGTAATTTGGACTTGGTAGAAAAGAAAGATCGCCGGTCTCGTTTTACTTGCTACTTCACATCTATAGTTAGATAATCGTTGAGTATTAGAAAATTCAAGAAATCATTGTTCAACTTTCGAATTCAATGAATTGCGCGGCAAGTTTTAAGCGAGAGAGAAAGGTTTCGATGGTGAAGATTTAAGTCGATTTAACCACGAAAGAGAAAATTTCTACAATTTTCCACGTGACACTGTATGGTGTAAAAAAAAAAAAAACGAAATCGAAACGACTATGGAAGCAGAAGCTTTGCACTTTAAAGTAAGGCCAAAGCACTTCATTGTTACACGAAGTGATATGAATTTAAATTATCGAGCAAGCTGTATCGAATCTTTCATCGTAAATGGCGCGATTATTTCAATAACGTGATAATGGCTGACAGTGTAACGTAACATTACACAGAATTCAATTACCTGCGAAAGACATTGTTTAAGAATGAAGCGAGACTTGAGTAAGTAATGCCTTTTAAAGCAATTTTCGCTGGAATTATCTACGTTATTGGCGTGTCTCGGAGAAGGTACACGTGTACATTTAATTATAAAATTTAATAAAACTTGCGACGACGTTGGTTACATCATGCGCAAACGTTAGATCTAACACAAGGCGCCCCAGGCATTTGAATCGTTTAAGCGAGTCAACGTACAGTGACTCCCATTAATACTTAGTGCGGACGCTAAATATTGAAACTGTTATAATTTCGTAGAAACTTTGGACTCGTTTTACAATTTCAGGTCACGTAGCGAAAAGATTTTCTTCTCGAAAATGTTATAAATTGTCATGGCGTTTGTGTAATAACATTGAGAAATATTTTCTATGATCAAGTTTATAGTGGATTTGAAAATTGAAATCACTCCTTTACAACTAATCTCGAAACGTGTGATTTTTTTTTCTTCACTATTTTATTAAACTTTGAGTACGAGTTCCACCACTATTTTCTCTTCAACCTTGAAACCTCTTGAAACTTGCTATACGACAAAAATTCGAGAAATCCTGACATTTTGTTCCAAGCCGAATGTTTTATCAACGCTTGACAAAATGAGGACACTTTTCTTCTCAGAAATTATAGAAATGCAAAATGAGTGAAAAAGTTTTTTTGTAACTAGGGCCATCATCACAACGACTCCCCCAAAAAACTTGACGTATGATCTTTTATTGAACTTTCAATATTGAACTATTGAACTATTCAGTAATACTATTACTATTCAGTAATTCTATTACAATATTCAATAACTTTTCAATTATTACTAAAATTCAATAAATTGGCAAAAAAGAAAAGAAGTTTCAAGGTAAGTTTCAAGAGGTCGTTGTAAAATAAAGACTTGAATCTTCAAATGTTCATCATTGATTCCGTCGTGACAAAAATTTTTCATCCACTGTGACAGTTTATAACTATATACTCAATGCTATATACAACTGATACTATATACTATACACTACATGCAACTGATACTATATACTATATACACTAACACTGATACTATTACTATATACTATACACTATACTGATACTGTATACTATATACACTACTAACTGATACTATATACACTAACACTGATACTAATACTATATACTATACACTATACTGATACTATATACTGTACTAACTGATACTATATACTATATACACTAACACTGATACTAATACTATATACTATACACTATACTGATACTATATACTATATACACTAACACTATATACACTAATACTATATACTATATACACTAAATTATATATTATATACTATACTCTACATACAACTGATACTATATACTATATACACTAAATTATATATTATATACTATACTCTACATACAACTGATACTATATACTATATACACTAAATTATATATTATATACTATACTCTACATACAACTGATACTATATACTATATACACTAAATTATATATTATATACTATACTCTACATACAACTGATACTATATACTATATACACTAAATTATATATTATATACTATACTCTACATACAACTGATACTATATACTATATACACTAAATTATATATTATATACAATTTATAACTATATGCTCAAGTGAGAAGAAAACTGTTTTCGCTCTGCTGTCTGTTGCACAGAGTAAAAAAAAAAAGAAGAACATATTAATACAAAATGAAGGTACGTTCGAAAAGTAGGAGTTTCGTGCTTTAAAACGAGCCCAAGTTTCATCACCGCGCGTTCTTCACGAAAATTGTAACCGTTTCAATATTTAGTGTTCAAATATTAGTGGGTACAGTCAACGATGGGTCAGCCAGCGAACAGCGCCGGCGGTCAGCTAAACATAGAAATTTACTCTGAATGTTTTCCATCGTATTGCGGAAATAGCGATAGCAACGCGGCGGGGATGTTTGAAATGGAATAGTCGAAAGGAATAACCGAGTGTGAAATAATAATTCATCACGTGGACGAGATGGTCACTTTTGTTTCCCTGTCGACGAAGAACGGTGTTTCGAATTTCGCGCGCGTTCCTCTCCAACCGTGACAGAGGCAATTCAGAAGAAACTTTACAGGTTTTTCTGGTACTTTTTCAAACGTCAATAAGAAGTAATATAATGGTAGAATAAAATAGTGTTCCAAGGAAAAGTATAAACAACGTGAAAAATTCTGAAATTCTTCCACATTGTAAAAACAAGGCAAGAAGTTTTAATAATCGTTGCCCGATGATAAATGTAGGTACATCGAAATGGGATCCCCGAGTTGAAGATAGGAATTGAAATTGGTGGAAATTGCACTACTTTTCGAGCCACTCATAACTCTCTCTCTCTCTCTCTCTCTCTCTCTCGACTTCAACGCCTTTCACATCTAGCTAATGAACAAAACTTTCACATTGCTTTCTTCCTTTTTTTCTTTTTCTTTTCTTTTCTTTTTTTTTTTTTCAAGCGATAACTTCGTAATGAACTTCTTCGCCGATCGCTTTATCGCGCGGATGTCCCGTTAAATATTCAGATATTTTTCGAGACAGCAACGCCACGCGAGTTGGCGATTTTTCTGATTATACCGCCGGAAATATCGTATGAATATTAATCCGCTGTTTCAAACTTTCGTTCGGATCTCAGTCGGGAACAGGGCGCGGGCGTTTTATTTGAATAAAATATTCGAGAGATGATTACTTAAACAACGTATCGTCCTGCCAGTGGCGGCGTTAGTTCATTCGAACGAGCAATTTATTCAATTAATTTCACATCGTCCGTCGAATGAAATAATTTCGAATCTTGCACTTTGCAACCGTTTCTTGATACAATTTCTAATTTCGTTCAACTTCTGCCGAAGTTTATTTCAAACTGATGAGCCGACGAAAGAAAAAATTACAACAGATTCGTTATTTTTTTCTTTTTTTTTTTTATACCACTCTCTCGAACGAAATTCGCCGGAAGCTGGCGCGAATAATTTCAAAATAACATATCATTCGCAACGAATTTACCCTTCCATTTAATTTATTTACACGTATTTGATTTATTTGCGCGTAACAGTCAATATAGCATTTCCATCGATCTAATTAATCCGTGAAAACATTTAATTATCCATTTAATCTCTTAATAATCATCGGAAGGATCTCTCCAGCCAGTGCTTATTTGTGAATTGTGCGTGAAGCGTGCCCCATACGCAAACAAGCTGTTTTTATTTTTCAGCGTCAGAACTCATTAACAAGCGTCACTTAGTGTTGCAGTCACGCGCGCCGGCAACACCGTCGAATCCCGTTAATTATCGTAATTGCGATTAATTAATCCGGCTTGTTTCCAAATGTTTTTGATTAATATATTGTATATATATATATCGCTCTTGTACGCAGCCGTTTATCCCATCTGGCGCGTACGAGCGAACGTGCTTTGAAAGCCCGCCCCGCCGGCTAAAAGCGCGGGCAAATCTGATTTATATTATTGGAACGTTTGCCACCCAATTGGATAAAAACAACCGGTTCTAGTTAATTCGAATAAGGACGAAGAGCCTGACGAATGTTCACCGATTTTCTATTTGAAACGCAAATATGCACGCGCAGACACATTTTTCAGCAGCGTGTGACACGTGTCTGCAATTCGGAAAGAAATACAAACGATCGTCGACGCTCGCGCGCGAAAAAAACAAAAAAAACGGACGAAGATCGTGATTTTTGTGATAATGCCTGCTGTCCGCTGATTATTATACACTGACCCTCCAATTTTCACTCAGACTGATTTTTCTGCTGATATTGCTTTGATATTTATTTATTGTAATATTTATTTAATAATATTTATTTATTTATTTAATATTTATTTTATAAAATATTATTTAATATTTTATAAATAAATATTATGAAATAAATTATATATTATGATATTTATTTAATAATATTTATTTTGTAGAATATTAAAATAATATTTATTTTAAATAAATAACCATCAACACTAAAATACGTATGGTAAATTATTAAAACTTAAATGACAATTAAAATAAATAAGATTTGTACAGTTGTATTCCAGAAATAGGAATTATTATTAATTTTAACGAGAACATTCGTATCTTTTAGGTTTAGATTGACGAGAATACCCGTATCTCTTAGGTTAGGTACAATAGTTCGAACGAGAGTCTAAAATCATCGTTCGATTGTTATAACACGCCAATAAAATTACGATAGTTAAGTTAAGATAGTAAAATTGTACAATTATTTATTCAACTAGTTGTAAAATTATTGTAATGATAAAATTGTACAATTGTTTATTTAACTATTTGTAAAACTATTATAATAATAAAATTGTAGAATTATTTATTTAACTATTTGTAAAACTATTGTAATGATAAAATTGTACAATTATTTATTAAACTATTTGCAAAACTATTATAATGATAGTTTTAACAAATAATATTTCTTGCACGTAACTGTGTCATTTCAAACGTCCCGCCGAGAAAGCGTTGAGATAAGAGAGTCAGACGACTCTAAACCTAACCTAAACGTGAGCGTCACACTTCATATTATTAAGAATATTAGCCACATTTTTTGGCAATAACCATTATTATTCGATGTACAGAGACCACAATTTTCACAAAAGTTAAATTATTTTCTTCCATTGTCATGCAATACACTATCTTTCAGTTCACCAAACATCTAGTTCTTTTTAATCACGAGCATCTAGTTTTTTTTTTTTTTACTCGTTTGCAGAGAATCGTAAAACCTAACCTACAAGTTATTTATTCTGTCGTCAGTATCGCCAGTACTCTACGAAATAATTTCCTCGCGGAAGTTATATAAGTTAAAATTGTTTCAAGGATAACGATAATAACGGTAACAAAGAGAATCAGATGAAGGAACGCGAGAGTCATTCGCATAGCTTACGTGCCCGTGCACGTGATTCTCATGCTATTCAACTTGACTTTTGCAACGTATTTACTTTCACCGTATTGAGGCGAAGGTGGCCTAGAGAATGACACGTAAGGTGTCGCGAGTTACGAAAGCAGGAGCCTCCGATACAATACGAATGAATGAATAAATTCACATTTGTTACGCAAGTTGACGATCGTTTTCATCCTTTCTATTGAAACAGAATCTGAAATATCGTTGTTGACCAGCAGAGAGCTTCAATCTTTTGACGTTACTTTTATCTGTTCCCTCTTTTGTTTTCTTATTACTATATTCATTGTGACTTTTTATCACTATATTCATTCTTTTTATTACTATATTCATTATGACTTTTTATTAGAGCTTCAATCTTTTGACGTTACTTTTATCTGTTCCCTTTTTTTTTTTTTTTTTTTCTAAGAGTTTCAATTTTTTGACGTTACTTTTATCTGTTTCTTTTTTTCTTTTCTTTTTATTACTATATTCATTGTCACTTTTTATCACTATATTCATTCTTTTTATTACTATATTTATTATGACTTTTTATCACTTTTTATTACTATTCATTGTGACTTTTTATCACTATATTTATTCTTTTTATTACTATATTCATTATGACTTTTTATCACTATATTCATTGAAGCAAATTTTCTTTTTCTTTTTATTACTATCATTATGACTTTTTATCACTATATTCATTGAAGCAAATTTTTTTTCTTTTTATTACTATCATTATGACTTTTTATCACTATATTCATTGAAGCAAATTTTTTTTTCTTTTTATTACTATCATTATGATTTTTTTATTACTATATTCATTGAAGCAATTTTAATTCACGCGGTTGATAATGTTACGTGAAGAACAATGTTAAAGAACAGAGGATAAAGAGTTAAAGTTAATTTATAGGTTAGGTTTAGGGTTATCGGTTATTTATAGGTTAGGAACAAGTAAATAAAACTAGATCCGGCTAAATATCTATGTACGTTGTATAAGACTTCAGAAAATGGTCCTCGGATTTTTAATTGATGAATCATCGACTGGCGAGGAAGGTGTTGCTCGTTATCGTTGCTCGATAATTATTCCGAGTTCTCGCTCGAGTTACATTTAATTGAATCGAAAACAGAGTAACGCGACTTGTTATGAATTTTGCAGCCGCGTGAAATGGATTTTCAGATGAAACGAGATATTGTCCGGAGTGTGTGTATAAAATTTCTCCTAGCAGAAGAAAAGTCACGGTTTCTTTCGTTAAGTAAAATGTTACGTTGTTTAGTAAAAACTCGTAATTTAACGTAATTTCGAAACAGAGGTATCATTAGTTTCCTTTTCTTTTTTCTTTTCTTTTTTTTCCCTACCGAACAAAATATCAAAATTCGTATGCAAAATCAGAATAAAAAAGTAGGGCGCGCTTTTCAACTTTTCAAAATCCACGTGCACGTGTTCCCGATGTGCGCTAATGAAATTTCAGAATGTTTCGAAATTTATTAACACGCGCGAAAGTTTCGTCGTCGTCGTCGTTGTTGTTAGTCATTTGGAGAAGCCAGCCGTGCGTTTGAATTATTTGCCAACGTTGAAACCACGTCCTCTGATGAAAGTTTCAGTTAATCAAGAACGGAAGCATTTTGAGGTTCCAGGAGGCGTTGCGAATTTAGCGATGACCGTGAATGAATGAATGAATGAATGAATGAATGAACGAACGAATGGATATCCGCGCAACAAGAGGTTAACCTCGTGAAACCTCGAACCCCCGTAACTGCATCCGGTGGTTAGGGGATAACTTCGTCTGGTAACGATTCTGTACTCTAATCGTTACGATAATGGCGAGGTGACACGTCCATGTACGAGTTTAACGGCCATGTGAACGCTTGCCTCGCATTGTCAGCCGTCGCGTTTTATTATCATCGTGTTCTTAAACACAAGCTGGAGGTTAATACGTA